CAATGGACCTCGCTTTACAACTTGCAAAGTACATGTCCTAGTAACGACATGTATTGATCCGTGGTCAGTCGGGACCGTGGTCAATCGAGACCGTGGTCAATCGGGACCGTGGTCAATCGGGACCGTGGTCAATCGGGACTGTGGTCAATATCAACGTGGTCAAAAGGGACGCTTCCAATTATTTCTACCATAAAACATTATGATATAATGCAAAAAAAAATAATATATGGTATGGTTTGAACCTGGGTTTATAAATTCTAATGCAAGTGCCATATCCACTACACCACAGATACTCATGTATAAATATTTTATACAAACTATACTAAAAACGTCACTAAATTTTAGATCGAAACTATTTTCAGTCACGGTTGACCATCTGTATTCTAATAAACGTATTATACTCTGGGTAACTTTGTTATCAGGCCAAATTTTTCCGAAATCAACGGAAAGCAGCGCCAAGTTTTTTTAATTAAAATTTTTTTATATTTTCTTATTTCTATTGAACTTATTTTGAAACTCAGGTATCTCTTAATAAAAATATAATGCGTTTTAATTTTATGCAGACAATTTGTGTATAACATTTCTATAAATACAAATTTGATTTTATGACAAATACTATTTCAAATTACAAATTCTCACAAACTGAATTGCTTCTAAGTACTTGGCTAGTTAACTATTGATTTCATATTTAATTTTTATTTCTTATTATTTAGGAAAAATATTTTATAATTTCTGGAGAGTAGATTTTGCAAGTAGTTTGCTTTTTCGATACTTCTGACGTAAATGTGACGTGCAGGTCTTGTTATTTCACGTAGTTGCGTTGTAAAATATTTCGGATTAGCTTCACCGTCGAACCATTCGATGCCGTGATAATTTCGCGTGAGCCTATTGTTTTCATGTCTTACTTTTCTTGGTAAATCACCAAATGAATGCGGCGGCATCATAATCCAATGTCCGACGAATGGAGCATCAAGCGCGATAACAGCAACTTCCTTAGGGATAAACTTCTCATTGGCATCACGGAAACCTTGTATGTCGATGACTATATCCATATTGTGAAGACTGGAGCGCACTCGATAGGTTTAAACTGTTCGCGAAGTGTCGACGTTCGTGTCTCGAATGAAACTGAATCCTTTTTTGTTACATTACACATTTTTTGATATTTTATGCTCTTGGCATTTTGATCGAATGTGGAGGGGTGAAAAATGAGAAAAATTTTCCGAGTATTACGTTGTAACGGTCAAATACCTGAACGCGATAAATATCTAGCCGGCAAAATCGACGATGACTTGACGAGACGAATCGATTTCTATTACATTATCGAATTCGGCGTAAATAATACAATTAACGGTCTCTGTGAGAGCTTTCTCGAATCGCACTTCTAATCGTAAACTACCATGTCTCACGAGATTCCAATATCCCGCGTAATTAGCAGATGGGTCGGATGTGAGATCAAAAGCGAATAGCGTATAACCTTTGGAATAATCGTCTCTACTTATAGAATTTCCTTCATTCAAAAAATGGATGCCCGTTCCCGCGAAGAGAGTTTGATAAGCTTCGACGTAAAGCGGTTTCTCCGGCAAGAAAACCGGTTGTAACGGTGTACTAGGAATTTGCATACCGTCGACGTATAGTGTTTGAGATTGGGCGTCTCCAACGGGAGCGCTCGAAAATTGGCGCGTTAGCGGCCATCTCGCGCGGCGCACGGCCCGCCGCAGATCAAATCACGCGCAAACAGCGGCGCTCAGCAAATCGCGCCAGGCCCGTGGCATTGTTCGTGCCGTTCAAAGCGGGCCACGCAGCGATCACCCGAGAGAGCCGAAATTAATAACATATGCGAATAACAAGTTCTAATTTTCCGAATCATCGCAAACAACAACCGGCGCGATCTTTGGAGACAAACACGCAGAATGTTCTAGAATCAGCAAAAGAACTGTTGTATATAAGCTCTCGGGAAACCGCCGGGCGCACTCGATCGAGATTTATCCGAGACAGTGTGTGAATATCGTTAAACTCTCGCGCAAGAAAAGTCGCTCGCTTTTCCAATTCGTACTCTCGCTTACGAAACGCGAAGTTTCAGAGTCGAACAAAAGAGATTCTCGTCGCTCGCGATTAATCTCTCGCAGTTAAAACGCGCCGTTCATTCCGTCGGTCGCGGAATCGCGCCGTTTTACCGTCGCTCGCGGTATTCACGATACATCCGCCGCTCGCGGAGAGTATCTTTGCGCGTCCGGTACAAACGCGATCTCGCAGGGCTCCTCTCGCCCACGTCCACTTCTTTCTCGCACATTTGCTGGCCCTTCGAGCCGGATCTTGCTATCCGGTGCCTGTGCGTGGAGTGAGTGCAGTGCCTGCAGTGAATCCGTCTGTGCTCTTCCGGACGCTGTTCATCTGAAAGACAGACATGAATAAGGACAAGGAACCAACGGTCCGTTCACAGTCGGACTTATACGGACGCATTTCCCGCGCATACGAGAACTTGCGGAAGTCGGGAACCGCCAACATAACGATCGGGCTGGCGGAAGCGCGACTCCAAGCCCTCGAGGCCAACTGGGCGAAGTTCGAGTTCCAGCACGACAAGCTGCTCGAACACTGGGAAGCCCTGTCGGAAAGCACATACGTGAAAACGGACATACCAACGCTAGCTGAGGAGGCGTACCTGACGCAGAAGGACATGTTCTTGGACACGCTTCGACGCCTCAGAGCCGCGGAAAGGACCGAGCCTTCAGCCTTCGGACCTGCGCCGTCTCATCCGGCGCGAACGACCCTGCCGAGGATACAACTCCCGCAGTTTTCGGGGCTCTACGAGGACTGGCCGTCATTCCGCGACCTCTTCCACTCGCTCATCGGGAAGGACACCTCCGCTGCCCCGGTGGAGAAGCTGCACTACCTCAAGGCGTGCCTAAAAGGAGAGGCAGAGCTGTTAATCCGCAGCCTTCCGACGACCGACGAGAACTTTGAGCGCGCATGGAAATCGTTAACGGACTATTACGAGAACAAGCGCCTGCTCGTGCGGTCCTACATCGCGAGGTTCACTGCAATACAGCGGATGAAGGGTGAGTCGAGTGCGGACTTGCGCAAGGTCTATCATGGCGTGCTGAACACCGTCGGCTCACTCGAGAGCATCAGGAGACCGATTATTCTCGGGGAAGACCTCTTCGTTCACCTCGTCGTAGAGTTCTTAGACTCCCAGTCGCGCCGCAAATGGGAGAGTGCGATCGGCGACACGACGGAGCCGCCGACGTACGTCTCGCTGATGCAATTCCTCGACTGACGGCTTCACACGCTCGAGTCGTTGCCGCCGAGGCCACGAATCAGATCACGCGTAGACAGCGGCGCTCAGCAAATCGCGCCAGGCTCGTGGCATTGCTCGTGCCGTTCAAAGCGGGCCACGCAGCGGTCACCCGAGAGAGCCGAAATTACAAACAAATGCGAATAACAAGTTCTAATTTTCCGAACCAATTTGCTGGTCCTTCGAGCCGGATCCCTTGCTATCCGGTGCCTGTGCGTGGAGCGAGTGCAGTGCTTGCAGTGAATCCGTCTGTGCTCTTCCGGACGTCACGCATCTGAAAGACAAAAATGAATAAGGACAAGGAACCAACGGTCCGTTCGCAATCGGACTTATACGGACGCATTTCCCGCGCATACGAGAATTTGCGGAAGTCGGAAACCGCCAACATAACGATCGGGCTGGCGGAAGCGCGACTCCAAACCCTCGAGGCCAACTGGGCGAAGTTCGAGTTCCAGCACAACAAGCTGCTCGAACACTGGGAAGCCCTGTCGGACAGCACGTACGTGAGAACCGACATGCCAACGTTGGCAGAGGAGGCTTACCTGACGCAGAAGGGCATGTTCTTGGACACGCTACGACGCCTCAGAGCCGCGGAGAGGACCGAGATTCCAGCAGTCGGACCGGCTCCGTCACAGCCGTCGCAAACAACCCTGCCGAGAATCCAGCTCCTGCAGTTTTCCGGACTCTACGAGGATTGGCCTTCGTTCCGCGACCTCTTCCACTCGCTCATCGGGAAGGACACCTCCGCTGCCCCGGTAGAGAAGCTGCACTACCTCAAGGCGTGCCTAAAAGGAGAGGCAGAGCTGTTAATCCGCAGCCTTCCGACGACCGACGAGAACTTCGAGCGCGCGTGGAAATCGTTAACGGACTATTACGAAAACAAGCGCCTGCTCGTGCGGTCCTACTTGGCGAGGTTCACGGCAATCCAGCGGCTGAGGGGTGAGTCAAGTGCGGACCTACGCAAACTTTATCACGGAGTGCTCAGTACCGTCGGCTCACTCGAGAGCATCGGACGACCGATCGCGCGCGGGGAAGATCTGTTCGTGCACCTCGTCGTAGATCTCCTAGACTCCCGGTCGCGCCGCGAATGGGAGACCACGATCAGCGACATGACGGAACCGTCGTCGTACGCAAAGGTGATCCAGTTTTTAAACCGACGGCTGCACACGCTCGAGTCGTTGCCGCCGAGTAAAACGGAGTCGAGTCCCGCGAAGCCGGTCGCAAGCTCCGGGCGTCCGCCGCGCGTTCTTCACGCCCGGAAGCCGGAGAGCAAGCGCGAGCGGTGTACCATGTACCACGAAGAGCATTATATCATGTTCTGTGACGCGTTCAGGGCAAAGACGGCGTCGGAGAGAAGAAAGCACATCGAAGCCAACCAGCTGTGCTTCAACTGCCTCGGGAGGCACAAGGCAAGCGAGTGCCCCGGTGGAGAAGCTGCACTACCTCAAGGCGTGCCTAAAAGGAGAGGCAGAGCTGTTAATCCGCAGCCTTCCGACGACCGACGAGAACTTTGAGCGCGCATGGAAATCGTTAACGGACTATTACGAGAACAAGCGCCTGCTCGTGCGCTCCTACTTAGCGAGGTTCACGGCAATCCAGCGGCTGAGGGGTGAGTCAAGTGCGGACCTACGCAAACTTTATCACCAACGCCTCCGAGGTCGCCAGATCGTCACTCTCAGCGAACCGAAGCGCGAGAGCCGCACCGGCGATGCTTCTCGCGACCGCGCGCGTTCGGGTGGCCGACAAATTCGGAGTCCTGCACGCCGTGCGCGCCTTGGTAGATCAGGGCTCCGAAATTTCGCTCGTGGCCGAATCGCTCGCGCAGCGTCTGCAGCTGGTCCGCGCACCTACCTCCATCGCCATCGTCGGCGTTGGCGGACGATCAACGGGCGCTCGGGGCCAGGTTGAGCTCGCGCTCTCGCCGCTGCGGGACGGCCCGCCCTTGCGAGTCTCGGCCTTCATCCTGGACCGACTGACGACGACCAGCGGCGGCCTCCGTGCAGACCGGCACTCCTGGCGGCACCTCGACAACCTGGAGCTGGCCGACCTGGACTTCTTCGCCGCCGACCCTGTGGAACTTCTCCTCGGCGCTGACGTCTGCGCGGACATCCTCCAGCCAGGTGCCGTGCGCGCCTTGGTAGATCAGGGCTCCGAAATTTCGCTCGTGGCCGAATCGCTCGCGCAGCGTCTGCAGCTGGTCCGCGCACCTACCTCCATCGCCATCGTCGGCGTTGGCGGACGATCAACGGGCGCTCGGGGCCAGGTTGAGCTCGCGCTCTCGCCGCTGCGTGACGGCCCGCCCTTGCGGATCTTGGCCTTCATCCTGGACCGACTGACAACGACCAGCGGCGGCCTCCGTGCAGATCGGCACTCCTGGCGGCACCTCGACAACCTGGAGCTGGCCGACCCGGACTTCTTCGCCGCCGACCCTGTGGAGCTTTTCCTCGGCGCTGATGTCTGCGCGGACATCCTCCAGCCAGGTCTCCGCCGCGGAGGACGCCAGCAACCTGTGGCACAAAGGACTACGTTGGGATGGATTCTATCGGGCGCCGTCGGCGTCGCGACCGCTGCGCGGACCGCCCGCACCTACCACTGCAGAGGAGACGACGACCTCCACTCCCTGTTGCAGCACTTCTGGAAGCAGGAGGAAGTAGACGCCACCGCAGCGCCACTCACCGCCGCCGAGAAGGAAGCCGAGGAACACTTCGCCCAGACGCATTCGCGAGACGCAAGCGGCCTCTTCGTGGTCCGTCTTCCGCTCACTCCGCCGCTGCCAGACCTTACGGGAACGAAGTTCGCTGCCGCCCGCCTGCTCGAGCAAATGGAGCGGAGATTCACCCGTGACGAACAGCTGCGACGCCTGTACTCTGCCTTCATGCAGGAGTACGAGGACCTGGGGCATATGTCCCCCGCTCGGCCGGGCACAGTAATGCCCTCCGAGTGCTTCTTGCCGCATCACGGCGTGATGCGCAAGGCAAGCTCCTCAGCCAAGATCCGGGTCGTCTTCAACGGCTCGTCGACCGTGGCGTCCGGCGCGTGCCTCAACCAGCACCTCAAGGTGGGGCCGAACCTCCTGCCTGCCTTGGACGACGTGCTGCTGCGATGGCGCGTGCACCGATTCGTACTGGCGAGCGACATCAAGAAGATGTATCGCCAGATTCTCGTCGCTCCTGAAGACCGCCACCTGCAAAAGATTCTCTGGCGTCACGGCGACAAGACGACTCCGAAGGAATACGAGCTGAACACGGTCACTTACGGCCTGGCATGCGCCCCGTTCTTGGCCATCCGCTCCCTTCGGCAGCTCGCCAGCGACGAGGATGCCTTCTTTCCCCATGGATCAGCGGTTCTGCGCCGAGACGTCTACGTGGACGACATCCTCACGGGCGCACCCACCATCGAGGAAGCCATGGACCTCCAGCGGCAGCTAACGGAGCTGTGCACGGCGGGCGGGTTCCCGTTGAGGAAGTGGTCGGCGAACGACCCCCGCCTGCTGGATCACATCCCGGCGGAGCACCGGACTCACAAGGGGAGGGCCAAGTCTGCAGACCGGCAAAGTAAAGGAATTCTACAACGCCGAAGTGCGAAAGTTCGCGGAGAAACGCAGTGAATCATTACTCGACGTACTCGGTGATGAAAGCGTCGATCGTCGAGCAATTCAATCGCACGCTCAAGAACTCCATGTGGAAGTACTTCACGCTGAGCGGAACGTACAAGTGGATCGACGAGTTACCTCGGCTCGTCGAGGAGTACAACACGCAAAAACATCGCACTATAGGTATGAGACTTATCGACTTAACTCCAGCGATCGCCGATAAACTTTTAAATACGGTGTACAGCAACGTAAAGATCGCGGCTCCGGCGAGATTCGAAGTAGCCGATCCGGTACGCGTCAGCAAGTTCAAGACGATCTTCGAGAAAGATTTCACGCCCAACTGGACCACCGAGATCTTTCGAATAACCAAGATACAACGGACCAATCCCGTGACGTATCTGCTGAAGGATTCGCGCGGCGAACCGATCGCCGGAGGATCCTACGAGCACGAGTTGCTGCGCGTCCGCGATCCCGACGTAGAGAATGGTATCTCGTAGAGAAGGTGCTGCGCCGAAGGGACGACGAGGTTTACGTGAAATGGCTGGGAATGGACGAGTCGCACAACTCTTGGATAAATAAGGCAGCTGTATTATGATAAAAATGTAAAATTTTACTAAATAAACCGTTATTTATAAAATAAACTATGTAATTATTTTAAAATATATTTCAATAAATAAGAATAAATTAATAAAGATTTTTACAAATATATCATACGAAGAAGACAAATACAATCGAAAACCGACGTGATTATTTACGCGCATATATTTTACCCGGAAAAATTTTTTTATGTACTTGACGTCGCTTGATTACAATAAAATTACATCGATATTTTAAGCAAGCGATAGAAGCGATCGCAAAAGCGCGCGTTTCGCGTACGCGCAAAATGCGCGTTCTTTGCGCTTCGCGACAATTTGTAGAATGTCCACCAATGTTTCGAATCCCAAAGTTTCCAAGTCGAATAATACAAGCCAGCGATAGAAAGCTTGTATTTTTCGACTTGAAACTTGGAGACAAGTATTTCGAATATTGCCGCCATGGACCGCGATACTATTCGGACTTTCGATAACTTGGTTAAAAACAGGTGTTTTGGTCCTTTTCGAACCATCTTCAGCGCGATTGTAAAGTATATGGAATATATTATATCGGAAATGCGATAGTAATAATACGCGGAATATATAAAACATATTATGTTATTATTTATAAAATAACCTATGTTATTATTTATAAAATAAACTGTGTTATATTTATACTAACAATAAACTACCGTCGAAGTTTGAATGTTTTAAGAAGCGTCTCCGAGAGCGCGATAGATAAAATGGCGAATGCGCGTCTCGCAAAATTACAAACTACTTACGAAAAAATGCGCGATTTTGCGAGTTCGATTCCCGCCTTTGTTTATAAATATTTTTACAATTTTTGCGAGACCCGCGTTTGTTATTCTCTTCTATTGCGCTCTCGGAGTATTTTATTAAAATAAACTATATTAAACACAAATAATATTTATTACATTCCGCAATATACAACGTTTTTTTCGCTCCTTATAGCGGTATTCTATAATGCCCCCACGATATCCGTAGTTCCGGGTATCACGGATTGCTTATCGTCGTGCTGACTAATGGCCCTCGCACACTGGACGCGATGAGCGATGAGGGATGGGCGATATCCAGAGAGCTCTGGTTTTCCGAAAAAATAAAGCTCTCATTGGATATCGCCCATCGTTCATCGCTCATCGCGTTCAGTGTGCGAAGGCCATAAGCGCGACCTTCGACTCCGACACCGTGTACACCTCGTGTAATTTGGACCTTACGCAGAACTGCTCGCGCGTCATCTCGATCTCTCGTCGAAGACATCGTGTGTAATCGTCGAACGTTATCGTTCTCGCGACGACGCCGCTCTTGACGCCCTTGATCCTCTTCGTGTCGCCTCTACCGACTCGCAGTGCGTACATCTTTGCTCTGAGCCCGACGAATTCCGTCATGATCGCGCCAGTATTATCGTCCTTCATCGCACCCGGCATTTTCTTGTTAGCGAGAGGCATGGCGTACGCGTTGTCCGCTGCGTAATCGCTCGTGTCGAATCTATCGATATCGCGCTTCATATCCTCGTACATATCCTCGCACTCGACGCGATAGATGAGACTATCCGTGTCGGTGTACATTATCTTGCACTTGCCTCGATACAACGGTAACATATATTCGTAGTGAAATTCGTATAAACGAATCTTGGACACGTCGAGGATGCACATACTCACGTAGACCGGTTTGTCGAACTTAATCTCGAGTTTGCCCAATTCCACGGCTACGAGATCCTCCGCGAAGACGCTTTTGCTGTGAAAGTTCGGCTTCGCGATCATCGCCTCCGCGCCGTATCGCCCGTCCAATCGGGTCGCGAGACGAACGTCCGAGTGATTGCGCATGTTCTCCATGGTCTTGCCGAATATGGCGTTATTCATCAATTTGTATAGATTTTTCTCGAACTTGTTTCTCGCATTAATTCGCAGTCGCGTGTTCAGTTCAATGTATCCGCGCAACCACGGAGATTGCGCGAATCGCAGTATTCTGTGTATCTTCGTAACGCGTAATCCGTATCGAATGCATTGCTGCAGGTTACGATAATACGTCACGTAACGGCCATTATCGTACAGTGTGGCGAAGAGTTTCTCCTGCCGTTTTCCGGGCGGCTTATTGCGCATCGGGCAAAACGGCAAATCCGCGTGGGAGTCGTGAAGACCGGACGGATACGCAAGGTCGACTTCTAGGATGTAACCGATAGGCGAGTTCGACGTTATGGACATTAAATTGATGCTCGTAACATCGTCGACCCATTGAAAATCCTTGTAAGGCCACGATTGACACATCGCCCATCCGTACAAATTATTTATATCAAAGTATATATGATAAGACGACGGTTCCGAGGAATCGTACGACTGTACGTACTTGTTATTAGTGCGCGCGTATCTATTGGAACATTGACTTAGCCCGCCGCAGTAGTGTAGTAAGGCCGGTTCTAAGCCATGGTCCTGTGAGGGGGGATGAGGGGCGAGGGTAAACCGGCGCAAGGGGTATGACGTCACGCGGGAGAACCGCGGCGAAACCGATGGGCGAGGGGTCCGCGGAGAAGGTGGAAGGGGACCGCGTCCTAACCGGTAGACGAGGGGTCCGCGGAGAGGGGAGAGGGGGATCGCGTCCTAACCGATAGGCGAGGGACCCGCTAACCTAACCTAATCAGTAGGCGAGGGATCCGCGGAGAGGGGGGAGGGGGACCGCACAAAATCGGTTAGCGAGGGACCCGCGGGAAAGAGGGGGATCGCGGCGAAACCGATAGGCGAGGCACCCGCGAGGCCCGCGAGGCGCGAAGGTATGTATATAGTATCGAGGAAAAGAACATTGTCCCGATACGTCTGAGTGAGCTAAAAAGAGACAACACGTCAACATGTTGTACATTAAAGACAACAACGTTGGACATTTTGCGTGAATCAAGGATCAATCCCGCCTCGTAAGCTCGCAATTGAGCAAAAAAGAACACAAGAAATATATCTGCGATCGGTACGTATATATTTAATAAAATACATTGCAGAAATAATTGAACAAAAAATAAAAAATAATTTCTTTTACAGATGTTTGCACTACTTTAGCTCGAACGACAAGTTACAGTCACATACGGTGGACTGTCGAGAGATGAACGAGTGCGCTAGCGCGAAGCATGCACGTGGATGATACGGCGTTCGCAAGGCGGTGTGAGAGAGATAGCGCGAGGTATGCACGCGTGTAGGAGAAGGATAGCGCGAGCAAGGAAGGGAAGCGAAAGAAATACATAATCATTTTTTCATTTTGACATTTATATATGTTAAAATACATCACCTCGTCTCAAGGATTCAGACAATAGTTCATCCACAGCATACGCTAATAGTTCACAATCTATGACAGATGTTTTATCATAGACGTCGCGCAAGATTTTAATAGCATCATCTTTTTCGGCACCAAACATATTATCTTGCAAATTAACGACAAGTCGATCGAGACTCTCATTTACGGCTTTTATATTCTCACACAGTTTCAAATATTCATGATTAACGCAATGTTCGATTTCGAATAAAAAAAATATAGTTGACGGTTTCATGTACAAGCAAGAATCGCGTAACGTAAGTTTCATAATACTCGCATTGCGTATTTTAACAATCTCAATTGATAACTCGTAAATCCATATTGGTGCATGATTAGGCGTTTGTACAAGCTGTTCAATGTCCGCTCGTTTCAGCATTAGCGATTCCCATGTGTCAATAGATAATACGATTTGATTGCCTCGGTTATCGCCGAGATGTAATTCCACGTAAGATGTTACTCCAACGCTGATTCCAATATCCAAGTACTTATAAGCAGTGCGCGTCAAAGCAAATCTGCGTACCAAAATTCATGGTATACAACGAGGTTTACCGCATCTGAAAAATACAATTAAATATGAAATAGCATGGAAAAAACATATATGAAAAAAAAATGTATACAGGGGGTCCCAAAGCACCCTTGACAACGCTTGTGAGCAGGTAGAGCACAGTAAACTGAACAAAAAAGTCCTGTACCATTTTTTTATATAACGCTCAATAAAAAAGTTATTATTGAGTAAATTCTGGCCAATCAGCGCCGACTTTTAGCCGGACGTATGTCGGTAAGCCGTCTGTCTGATAGCGTGCGTCGCCGTAGCGACGGAGCGCTCACGTACACTACCAGGCGTGCGGCTAAAGGTCGGCGCTGATTGGCCAGACTTTACTCAATAATAACTCCATTATTAAGCGTTATAGAAAAAAATGTTACAGGAGTTTTCTGTTCAGTTTGCTGTGCTCTACCTGCTCACAAGCGTTGTCAAGAGTGCTTTGGGACACCCTGTATATACATATATAACGTTATATACTATACGTATTATTTCTCATTGTGATATACATATATCGCTGAATGAATCGCCTTATGAATTTATGTTTAATTCAAAATTACGCATTTTGCGTGTATATATTAAAAATTAACAACTTAGCTTATTAAATATTTTTTAAAAAATCTATAACGCACTGCTCTTTTTCTTTTATGCGTTAATTAAATTGATTACATCGTTCTAAAAGCAATTTTCGTGAATGAATTCGCGAAGAGAGCAAGCTTTTCAACAAAAACATATGTGTCATAAATAATTATTAAATTCCGATTGAAAAAAATCTCAAATTCCAGTGATTCGTAAATCGTTATCTTTTCTGCAAATTAAATATCTCTTGTAGAAAATACACTAGGAGAAAGATGCTATTCGATAAAAGGAGAAAGACTACATTCTCAATAAAACAGAGATTTGTTATGCTTTACTCTCTAAATAAATACATAATATTTATATTTATATTAAATTCTCGTGTATTTCCAAACAATAACATCTTTTTTATATTTTTCTTTTAAATTTTAAGCATTTCTTTAAAAGCGTTATAATAGTGTCTATTTGATATTAACAAATTTTATAATATCAATAAAATTGTATTTTTAATTATTGAATACAGCAATCTTTCTCCAAGTTCTTGTGTGTGTGTGTGTGTGTGTGCGCGCGTGTGAATATAAAACGTATTATTGCAGAAAATGCTAATTATTGTTTAATACAAACAATATATAATAGCGTTAAAAAGTAAAATTTTTCTACGACATGATATGCACGTATATATGTTAGAGCTCTGTAAAAATAATATTTAGTTTAATATTATAGTATTATAAATAAAAAGAGTCCATGTCATTAATATACATAACAGTAATCGTAGAAGATTCGTTTTTTTAAAAACCAGTATTTTTATAAGATAATAATAAATTAAATATTTGTTCACGATTGTCTAAATAACAGCTTAACTTTACAAATCTTTATCATAATCTCCCGATTGTTCCAATTTAATAAAAATTGCATGTATATTAATGATTATTGATATATGAAAAATATATATTATATATTATATGTCAGACACGCATA